AGATGAACGAGGTGAGCACACCGAGCCTCTTCAACGAGGCACAACATGCACTGAACTGGGTAAGCTTCCCTTTCCTTGTGTCCTTCTTGTAGTTCATTTTACTTCAGCGTATCTTCATGATCTTATTGATTTGTATTTTAGGCTTCGGTGCTCCACCATGAAAGCCTCCATCAGTCTCGAATGAAAGTCAGCCAACTCGAGTTCGAGCTCAAGGAGCAAGTCCGATAGAAGGATATGTACAAGTTCTCAGCGAGAAAAAAGACAAGGCCCTCAAGGATCTCCTCATTCTTCGAGCTGAGCTGGAAAAAGCTCAAAGAGAGGCTTCGTCCTTGAAACAGGAGCATGCCGAACTGGTCGAGAAAGTAAGGATATTTGAGATTGAAAATAATAGGTTAGGCGTAGTGACTAATGACGCAACCTCGCAGGCCCAAGCAAAGATACACTTGATTGACCAACTATAGGCCGAGATGAACGAGTTCAAAACTTCGGCCAAGACGCTGAGGAGCAGGACGAACCTTCTGGCCTCGAAAAATGAGGCCAGCAAAGAGGAGTTGGCATCGATCAAGGACAACCTCTGGGTGACGAAGGATGAGGCCAACATCTCGGCTAACTGATGAGCTTCAGGCACAACTGGATTCAGCCATCTCGGAACGGGACGACCTCGGCCGGGAATATACCGTGCTGAAGTCCAAGTTAGAGGCAGCTTCGATCAATTCCTCCGAGGTCGAGGAGATACTGGCCTAATACAAAAACCGATGTGGAAATAGCCTAGGTCCGCTTAATAACAAAGGCTGAGTATGTAAAGTGGCTATCTCATAGGGAGACCCTCGAGTAGATTCATGCCCGGGATTTTGATCTGTCGGCCGAGATTGAAGAGGCCAAGAGGCTTTAGGCCGAGGCAAAAGAGCTATATGAGCCCGAGGGTTTCGGTGCTGAGTCGGGACCCAGTGAAGATTAGGCGTAGATGCCTTAGCTCTTTTTTTTTCCTTTGTTTTTTTCCTTTTGTGTTTGTTTTGAGGCCGTTTTATCGTGCCTTTGTAAATATTTTTTGGAATATATAAAATTTTCCCTTCGTCTACAGCGTGCCTTTTATTTTTTCAGTATTTGTTTGCAACTTATTTGAAGATTTTTATTAATGCCTTAGCATAAAATTGGACTTAATCTAGAGTACCCATTCCCTCGAAGCCCGAATGAGGCCCGATTTTGCTAATAACTCTGAGTCGTTTCGGCTTTGAAATCTAGATAAAAAATGAAGACCTTTAAGATACTTGAGTGTTTTAGACGTACACGACGGTGTTTTGCCGGGGGTAACATTTTAATAGGTTTTAATAATGTGTAAGGCCTTACTTTCTAAGTACAAACTTGGAGGTCTCCGAGCCGTTTTAAGTTGGCCGTAGCCTTTCAAGTTCGGACCCTACCTAATAGGCTCGGTGCCTCCATGATTCGATAGCCCAGGCTATCCAATCTTTTTATCGGACGATAGTCCCCGAGTCGGGGCGGCCCGTAGGCTCTAATATTTAGGATCCGTTCTTTGTTTTTAGTAACTCAACGAATATATCGACGGTGTACCTGCATAAGTTAGTCCAGAGTGTAACATATTTCAAAAGGGGATTGTGTTCGTACCTTAGCAGTAGTACCACTTTAAGTGTTCCACGTTCCAGTTGTTTGGTAGTTGTACACTGTTTCCCAACTTGAGTTTATATGAACTTTTCTCGGTTATTCCGGCAACTCTATACGGTCCTTCCCAATTTGGGCCTAGTTTCCCGTCATTTGGGTTCTTGGTGTGTAGCGTTTCTTTCCTTAACACCAAGTCCCCGACTTCAAAATGTCGAAGGTTAGCTCTTCAGTTGCAATACCTCCCCACTCGCTGCTTTTGTGCAACCAACCGGACTAGGGCGGCTTCTTGCCTTTCATCCAATAAGTCCAAACTCGTTGTCACGGTCTCCGCTGTTTGACATTTCAGTAGCATACTAGAACCTTAGGCTCTTTTCCCCCGCCTCGACCGGGATTGAGGCTTCCGCGCCGTAGACTAGAGAGAACGGGGTCGCACCGGTACTTGACTTCAAAGTCGCTCGGTACGCCCACAAGATTCCGGGTAAGATTTCTTTCCACTTTCCCTTGGAATCAGTCAGTCTCTTTCAAGTTTTGGAGTATAGTTTTGTTCGTCGGCTCCGCTTGTCCATTCCCGTTAGGGTGGCAAGGCGTTTATAATATCTTTTTGATTTTGTGGTCTTCGAGAAACATACTTACCTTGCTGCCGACGAACTACTTTTCGTTGTCGCAAATGATCTCGGCCGATATCCCAAATCGGCATATTATGTAATCCCAGATAAATTCAATGACCTCTTTATCCCGAACATTCTCAAATGCCTGAGATTCGACCCACTTGGAGAAACAATCGGTTATGCGTAGTATGTATTGAGCTTTACCGGGCGCCATGAAAGGGGACCAATGATGTCCATCCCCATTTCATAAATGGCCATGGCGACAAGACCGGGTGAAGCATCTCTCCTGGCTGATAAATTATTGGGGAGTGTCTTTGACGCTCGTTGCATTTTCGTACGAAGTCTTTCGCATCTTTCTCCATCTCATTCCAATAGTATTAATTTCCAAACTAGGGATTCTGCTCCCGAGTGGTTCCCACAAGTAACCTCATGGACCTCTATCATAGCGTAGTTAGTCTACCCTGGACCCAAGCACCTAGGTAGTGGGCCGAAAAAGGATCTTCTAAACAATTTCCCCTAGACCAAGCTGAACCTGGCAGCTTGGGTGCGCATGGCTCTCGACTCAATGGGGTCCGATGGCAATTTTCCTGTCTTCAGGTAGTCTATGTATTTGTTTCTCCAATCCCAAGTCAGGCTGTCAAATTTACCTCGGCATGACCTTCTTTACCATCGATTTCATCAGTTATACCACCGCCCCCGAGTCGAATTCGTTGGAGGCGATAGACGACCCCAAGTTAGCCAGTGCATCGGCCTTGCTATTTTGATCCTGAGGTACATGCTCTAGAGTCTATTCCTTGAATGTGTAAAGTCACCTGCAACTTATCCAAGTACCTCCGTATTCGCTCCTATTTAACTTCGAACATCCCGTTGACTTGATTTACGACAAGTAGGAGTCACATTTGGCCTCGATCACTTCGGCCCCCAGGCTCTTAGCCAACTCTAGACCTGCAATCATAGCCTCATACTCGGCTTCGTTGTTAGTCAATTTTATAGTTCTAGTAGACCGCCTAATTACGTTACCCGTAGGTGTTTTCAATATGATACCGAGCCCGGACCCCTTCGCATTGGAGGCACTGTCCGTGAATAGGGTCAAGATCCCCGAGCTAATTGGCGAAGTTAGCAGTAATTCCTTCTCGACCTCGGGTACCAAGGCCGACATAAAATCGGCCACAAGGTCCGCCAAAATCTGAGATTTTATGCGGTCATGGGTTTGTACTCGATATCGTACCCGCTAATTTCTACGGCCCATTTGGCCAGTCAGCCCGAATCTCGGGCTTATGCATGACATTTCTCAGCGGGTAAGAGGTCACGACACATATGGGGTGGCATTGAAAGTACGTTTTCAATTTTCTAGAAGCGCTTAGTAAAGCGAGTGCTAATTTTTCTAAGTGTGGATACCTTGTTTCGGCATCGCCTAGGGTTCTACTAACATAATAAACACAAAATTATGTACCTTATTCTTCCCGCACCAGAACACCACTTACTGCCACCTCGTAAATCGCCAAGTAGAGGTATAACTGTTCGTCCGCCTTCGGAGTATCCAACAAGGGAGGGCTCGATAGGTATCGCTTGAGTTCTTCTAAACCTCGCTGGCATTCCGGGGTCCAAGAGAAGTTATTCCTTTTTTTCAATAGTGAGAAAAATCAATGGCTCTTATCCGACTATCTCGAAATGAACCGGCCCAACGCGGCTATCCTCCTGGTCAGTCTTTGTACTGCCTTAGCATTATCGACTACAGTCATGTCTTCTATGGCCTTTATTTTGTCCGGGTTGATATCTATTCCTCGGTTAGATACCATGAACCTAAGAAACTTGCCCCAGCTGACCCCGAATGTACACTTCTTCGGGTTTAGCTTCATGTTGTACTTCCTCAATATGTTGAAGGTTTTCTGCAATTGTTTCAAATGGATGCTGCAGGGACTTAACCAACATATCGTCAATATAAACTTCCATTAATTTTCCTAATTCTTCTTCAAACATCCGGTTAACTAGGCGTTGGTATGTGGCACGGGCGTTCTTTAGTCCGAGCGGCATTATGTTAGAACAGCAGGTGCCGAATTTGGTTACGAAAGAAGTCTTTTCTTGATCGCCCGGGTCAATCTGAATTTGGTTGTTCCCGGAATAAGCATCGAGAAAACTCAGTATCTCGTGTCCGGCCGTCGCGTCGATCATTCGATCGATGTTAGGCAAAGGGAAAGAGTCCTTAGGACACGCCTTGTTTAGATTCTTATAATCTACACACAACCTAAGTTTATTTCTTTTTTTTAGGTACGACTACTACGTTAGATAATCAATCTGGGTATTTAACTTCCCGGATGGAACCTATTTTCAGAAGTTTAGATACTTCGTGCTTGATGAATGCGTGCTTTATCTCGGACTGTGGCCTTCTCTTCTGCTTAATCGGATGGAACTTTGGATCCAAGCTCAATTTGCGAGTTGTTACCTCCTGTGGGATCCCAATCATGTCTAGATGGGACCATGCGAAACAATCGGCATTAGCTTTAAAAAATCAATAAGTTTTTTCCTGAGATCGGGGGTTAGTCTCGTGCCCAAGTATAACTTTCAATATGGTAGGTTCTCAATCAATATAACTTACTCCAGCTCCTCGATCGTTGATTTTGTTGCCTCAGTGTCATCGGGTGCTATGAAATATCTCGGGACACCGTAATCATCCCCATCGTCTGCTCCGTGCTCTTTCTATTTTTTCGGCTCGGTTGAGGCCAGTATAATTGATTGGTATTTAGTTTCTTTTTCTTTGGTTGGTTCCTTGCTTTTTTATATCGAAACCGCTGGCACCAGGATTACTTCATCGAGAGCGAACATTTCCTTTGCAGCAAGTTGTTCCCCGTAGACTATGACTCCTCCCGGGGTCGGAAATTTCAGCGCCTGATGTAAGGTCGAAAGCACCGCTCTCATGCTGTGAACCCATGGCCTTCTGAACAAGGCGTTGTACCTCATATCCCCTTCGAACACGTAGAACTTTATTTCTTGGGTGGTCTCGGCAGTGTTTACCAGTAAAGTTATCTCACCCTTCCTGGTCTCGCACGCCATGTTGAATCTGTTCAATACCCGCATTGCCAGTACGATTTGGTCCTGCAACCCCAGTTGTTCTACAATCCTCGATAAGATACTATTGACCGAGCTACCTGAATCAATCAACACATGTTTAACCCGAGATTTATTAATAAGTACGGATATTACCAATGCATCATTGTGAGGCTGGATGATGCCCTCGGTGTCTTTGTCACTGAACGAGATAGCTCCTTCCGGGACATAATCCCGGGTGTGTTTTTCCCTCGTGATAGAAACTTTAGTGCATTTTAGCATTGGTCCTTAGGGGACATCCACTCCCCTAATGATCATGTTGATCACGTGTTGGGGCTCTCCTTGTTCGATCTGTTTGTGGGCGTCCCTGTTTCTGATGTGGTTTTTGGCTTGCTCACTTAGGAATTTTCGAAGGTGCCCACTGTTGAACAATCGAGCTACTTCTTCTCTTAGTAGTCGACAATCTTCGATCGTATGACCGTGAATACCGTGGTAATTACATACCAAGCTATGATCTCTCTAGGCAGGATCGGACTAAGTGGTCTTGGCCACTTGGTCTCTTTGAGGCGTCATATGGCTGACACTATGCTTGTAGCGTCTACGTTGAAATTATACTCTGATAATCTCAGTGCTTACCTACTCCCTAAGCGACCTGTCAAAGCCGTTCTTGCTCATTAGGCCCCGACTACTCGATCCTTGATCATTTCTTTTGTCATTCCTTGTCAGGTGGCGCCCGAATCTGTTTCCCCTTCTATCCGCATCGTACGGTTGGTATCAATCTCGGACTGGCCTTGGCTCTTGATCGATGATTCTCTTAAACCTGTCATTAGTTCTATTGGGGTAAATAGACCTCGAAGGGGCCCCGAGTTGGTCATCCTCGACTCTGATCTTCGATTTATGCCTGTTGTGGACGTCGGCCTAGGTGACCGTTGGGTACTCTACAAAATTTTGCTTTAACTACTGAGAAGACACAGAACTCCGGGGGTTCATCCCTTGAGTAAATGCTTGAACGTCCTAATCATCCGCGACTGGGGGCAGATCCATCCGTTCTATCTGGAATCTAGACACGAACTCCCTAAGCATCTCGTTATCCCTCTGTTAACCTTGAAAAGGTCTAAATTCCTCGTCTTGACCTTGATGGCGACGGCATGGGCCTTTACAAAGGCATCTGCAAGCATAGCAAACGAGTCAATAGAATTTGGAGGCAAGTTGTGATACCATATCATTGCTCTATTGGACAAGGTTTCCCCAAATTTTTCCAGCAACACCGACTCAATCTCGTCGCCTTCCAGGTCATTCCCTTTGATTGCGCATGTATAAAAGGTTACATGCTCATTTGGATCCGTGGTCCCATTATACTTGAGAATGTTGGGCATTCGAAACCTCATCGGGATCGGCTTGGGTGCCGTGCTCGGAGGAAAAGGCTTTTGAATGAACTTTTTGGAGTCTAGCCCCTTCAATATTGGTGGTGCTCCCGGGATCTGATTGACTTTGGAGTTATAAATTTCCACCTTCTTTTCGTTAGCCTCTATCTTTTTCTCGCCAGACACCACCTGTTTTGTCAAGGCTTCGAGCATCTTCATCACCTTGAAAGTTTCTCCAGGTCCAAATTCACCCAACTCCCCGACAACTTGTTCATCCCTTCGAGTATTTTCCATGGTCCGCTCAGGCTCGACCCTGTTAGGGGCATGGATCTAATTATGTAACTATGTTATTGCCGCTTGCTGAGCTTGCAACATTTCAAAAATCAACTGCAAGCTCATCCCATCACCTTCACCTTCGAGCGCCTCTCGAGCCGATGGTCGAGGTCCCCCGCGAATGCTATTTTCGGGGTCGGTCGGTAGATTGATGTTGATGGCCACCTGTGAGTTAGCATCGACTGGGTCGGCGGATGGGACACCGTTGGATAAATAGGGGGCACATCATTACTAGGTATCACATTATGTTTTCGTCGTGGTGGCCTGACTCGACGTCAACGTTCAAGTGGGCAGACTAAGAATTTGACATCCTTTGGACTAACCTGGATTCAAAACTTCAAAGAAAAAGCGTAAAACAGGGTGTGTCATGGAGATTCGTGTCAAATAACCACTATTATCCTTATCCCCACGGTAGACGCCAAACTGTTTACCCCTAAAATTAAGTAACAATTAAATTTGTACGCGGTTTAAAGGATATGTGATTTAATTTAATATGAATGATCTAAAAACAACAAGTAATAAAATTTAAAAAAATGAACAATCAAACCAATCGTAATGTGATGACCAAGCCTGATCTTAAGTTGAGCACTGAAATTCGGCCTCGATCGGACCCTCGATACAAGCTCGGTTATGATTAAAGAAAAGAATAACTGAATAACACTTTGAATAGTACTATAAGACAAAAATGAGCTTTTGTTGCTTTGATATGCGTGTCAACAGAGTGTGTAAATAAAAGAATTTGCCCCTTTATATAGTAGGGGGATTTTATTCATAATACAAGTCTATATAAGGTAAAAATCTTTTTTCCAGTAATTACCGATCCGAGTTGATATCGGATGGGATCCGCGCCGTAATATCCGGTGTAGGGTGAATATTACGGCTCCCTACTTATCACGACCAATCGTTCCTCCTTTTCCCATAATCTCGAAATTTTACTCTACCGGGATTCATTATTTTGTCATGCCCGATCCTACATACATCGTTCACTTCTCCTGCATTTCAATTCGAGATCCTTGCGTCGGACCGTGCTTCCCCCTCGTCTCCTTATCGGGGAATCGGGAAAAACTTTGTCCCTGATTTTACCCATACACAGTATTAGTAATATCTTGTTTGGTATACTTTTTCAACCTATGTATAATTAATACAAGCATCAGTTACACATCATATTTGGTATTATCCTATGTATAACTAATCTATAGCATACTATGGTATTAGCAATACCAAGGTTATTAATACATGCATAAGGTTAGTTAAAAATATAAGAGAAATTTTCATAAAGCACTATCTTTTAGTAGTAACTAGCCATCTATAGATACCATTTGCTATATTACGGATTATAGATACCTTTTCTGTGGTTATAAGATGTATTTGCTGTATTTAAGCTATAGTATTCATGAATACAGTAGCAAAAATAGGCATGAATCAGGGAAGTTCAGCTAATCAGTTGTTGTATTCGAGTGTATTCGACTGTATTCATGGAGTGAAACATGGGATTACAGCTGGACAAATTATTGTATTCGACTGTATTCACGGCGTGAAATAGGGGATTACACTATTTTTAAAACGGAAAGTGAATCAATTAACATAATAGACTCCTAATATAACTCAACAAACTCAATTATAACACAAATTTTGTATTTTCGGTTATAGAAAAGATTCTCAACCGAAAAATACCCCAAAAATATAGCAATCTTCAGAGAAATTATATAATACATCTGAATATATAAATTATATTAATTAAAAAATATATGAATACATTCATGGCATATAGAGAAACAGTGCATACAATGAAATACATAGAATACAGCGGAATACGTTGAAATACAATAAAAAAAAAGACAGTGAATACAACGAAATACATGGGATACAACGAGATACATTGAATTACAATGAAAAAAAAGACAATGAATACAATGAAATACATGAAAATACATTGAAATATATCAACAGAAAATCAAGTTGCTCAGCCCCAAACTCCGTCGTCTTTGTTCAAGAACAAACCCTAATTTTCGGTGAATCCGCCGTTCACCGGAAGCCGGTAGTGAAAACGCGCTGCCTTGGTCCGACGATGGTGCCGGAGCCGAGGTCACTTCCTGAGCAGAAGCAACCGCCGATAAGACCGCCACAATGGCAAAAAACAACGTCAAAGCCTTCAATGCCATATCTCAGAAGATGTAGAAATCACAGAAACTTATATCCTTCAATGACGAATTGATTGATAAAGACGAATTAACTTGTATCCTTCAATGACGAATTGTGTAGCAATGGCGACAAGTTGCTGCTGTTGGATTCTTTCAAAAGATTTTTGTTCCCGATAGACCTATGCCTTTCTCACAAGTCAAATAAATCTACTTCGGTTTATTCTAGCTTTATAAAGAGAGGTCAAAGTCCAAAAATATATTGGCAATTGGTTTGTGAAAAGCAGCAGTAGGGATTTGGTGGAAGAATTGCGGAGTCTAGTTCAAGAGGGTTGGTGTCAGAGAATAGCCCAAAATATGGGGGAAGACAATGGCATGTATCAAAGTAGAGAGAGAAAGAAAATAGTGTAACTGAATAGCGTATTTAGTGGCTTAGGGGTAGGAGGTAACCAAAATTAGATATTTTGCTATAAACATTAAAAGGTATCTATAGAATATACTTTTTTTAAATTGTATTTATTTAAAATAAATAAGGTGTTAACCTTTGCTATAGGAGGTAAAAATTGCCCCTCGAATCCCTCAAAACCTATTCCAAGTACTTTCCGTCATATTTTATATATTTTTATATTGTAATATTTTAATTAATTTTTCCCTTTAGCACCCTAATATAATCAAAATCATATCAAATTTAATACTCCTAAATTTGATTTTGCATTCGTTCGAAGTTTAAACTGAACTTTTCTTTATTTGTTAAAACTTTACCTTTTTTTAACAATTGATATTTTTTATTATATGTCATAACAATTAAATTTTTCTTCTCTTTTAACTTTAACATTTCATTAGTTTTCTCTTTTAATTTTGCTCTGCAATAAAAGAGAGACTAAAGAATGTAAAGGGTAATAAAACTGTCGCAATAAAATAATGTACAAAGTTAAAGAATATGGAGAATATTTTATAAACAATCAATTTTAATAGAAATTATTCAACATTTTAATACAAAAAACCAAACAGTGATCACTACTAGAAATTCGGTAAATACCGACTAGAAAAACCAACTAACGTTGGTCGGTTATGGCTAATTACAGACCAAAACTCGTCCAAATACGCTTGATCGCTATTTTGATGGCCGTTTTAATATACGGACCAAAGTTAGTCGGTAATTACCGACCAAGGTTGGTCGGTATGTTAAAACGACCATCTGAAGAATTTAAAACATTTACCGACCAACTTTGGTAGGAAACATATTTTAATAATTTATTTTTACCGACCAAAGTTGGTCGGTGTATTTAAATTATAATTTTTTATTAATTATTAAATTTAAAAAATTACCGATCAAAGTTGGTCGGTAAATGAAAATAAATATTTTTTAAAAAAAATTAAAATTTAACAATACCGACCAAAGTTGATAGGTAATGTTGAATTCTAGGAATTCCTTATTCATTAACCG